TGAAATTGGTTCTGAGAAATGGAGTCTCTTGAGGCAAGGCTCCACGTATTAATATTATTTCTTTTGGAAAATAGGAAACTAACTTCTTTAATGTACTGGAAATAACATGAGAAGCGTGTGTCTTCACACATTCTGTGAAAGCTAGATATATAAAGTTAATGAAATCTCAGCCTTTAACATAAAGCTCTTGAAATCATTAATTCTCCTAGAAAACTAGTATTTTCACCCTTTTTGACATTTGGTAATGAAGCCTTTTAGAAATAAATTTGATTCTACTATACAGAAACAGTGCCAACAAGAAGTACCGTATTTTGTGTGTGTATGTGTGTATAGGCTTTCAGCCAATGGTTCCATCAGTGTCTATGAGGATGGAATGTTCATTCATGCAACTGAAACTCAGCTAAGAATTGTTTGAAAGCAGATTCTACAGTTTGCTCCTCGTGTTCTCTACCATAAAAAAATAATGCTTTTTAGACCTCCTGCAGACTAGAAAATTGATAGTGCACAGAAAGTTTTCCTTCCTTGTGCTTCAGTACATATACTCATGTTACTCACTGCCTGTGTTTGACTAAAGTATAGCAACAGTGACTCAAGTCATGTCAGTAGATCCCAAGACTCATAGGTAGCAGATGCCTGCTTTTAAAAAGCCCCTTTTTGTTGATTGCCAGCGGGCAGAGCAATTCTTAGTTGTTGTAGCTCACAATATATTAAGTTCTTTGTTAACCAAAAGTGAATCATTTTGTGAAGTGTTTTTTAATTTGTGTCACCAAAACCAGGCAAAAACTTACCAAAAAGCAAAAGAAGCAAAATTACAACTACATCTGCAGCTAAAGAAATATGGGATTCTTGTTGAATGTGTTGAGCAATTGTCATGTTAAGTACACATTTTACAACGTATATTGTGTGGTTATTTTATTTGGCTGTTTTTACATTTAATTTTATTGCTTTTATTCTATTACTAGAAAGAAAAAAGGAATAACCAAATATAACAGTTAAAAGAAAATACAAGGAAACAAACAAATGAACCAAAAGGCAAGGAAAAAAAGGAAAAAAGAGAGCTGTTGAAAAATACAAATTATATCTTGACTGACCAGTGAAACACTGATCAGACTTTTGCAACATAAGCTAAATGCCTGGTCATATCCAGCAAAGGAACACCTGTAGGATTTTAAATCAGTTGCACTAGAGCCTTTTCACTAAAATAATCTTTTTAATTGCAGCATGATAAATCCAAAGTTCTTCATACTCAATAGGTTGCACATTTTGAAATATAATATTGCATTTGTATCTTTAACCCTTATTTCTTTTCCCTATACCTAGTAATAACCTTATGAATATTAAGCCACAATGGTGTTTACAAGCCCAAAATATATGAGCCAGTGTCTCTTTCTAAATGTAACACTCCCAACATAAAGAGATTGAAACCCAGTCCTTTGTATTCATCTTCTGAGGTGTCCAATAAAAATGGGAAAGAATCTTGTTGAATTAATCATCTCTTATCATAGATATTTGAATAATAATCATATTAAAACTCTAATGCAGTGATTGATTGATTGACTGATTGATTGATTATGTGCCATCAGGTTGTTTTCAACTCCTAGCAACCACATAGATAGATTTTCTCTAAGACAATCTATCCATAACCTGTTATTGGATGCACTCCCAGTGGTGAACTCATCGCTGCTGTAACTGAGTCCATCCACCTTGCTGCTGGTTGTCCTCTTCTCTTTCCTTCCTTCCACCTTTCCCAGCATTAGAGCCTTCTCCAGAGAGCTGGCTATTCACATAATGTGTCCAAAATAGGATAATTTGAGCCTGGTCATTTGTGCCTTGAGGGAGAACTCTGGGTTGATTTGTTTGTTGACCCATTGGTTTGTTTTCTTGCCTGTCCACAGTATTCTCAGGAATCTTTTCCAACACCAAATTTCAAAGGCAGCAGTACTCTTCCTGTCTTGCTTCTTCAAAGTCCAACTTCCTCTTCCATACAGTGTCACAGGGAATACCACGGCTTGCACAATTCTGATCTTTGTAGGTATAGACACATCACAGCATTTGAATATCTTTTCCAAGGCCTTCATGGCTGCTCTACCAAGTGCTAGTCTGCAGTGTATTTCTTGACTGCTTGTCCTTTGCTGTTGATGGTTGATTGTAAAAGGCAGAAGCTGTCCGTCACTTAGATATCTTCATTGCCAATTCTAAGGCTGGCTGTTCTACCTATTGTCATTAGTTTGTTGGTCTTTATATTTAATTTTAGTCTCATTTTTTCACTATGCTCCTTGACTTTTAGTACTAAGGCTGGCAGAACCTTTGTATTTTCAGCTATCAGGGTAGTGTCAGCAGCATAGAGCAGGTTATTGATGTTATTTCCTCCAAGTTTAAAACAATGCTCATCTTCTTCCAATCCAACTTCCCTCCAGATATATTCAGCGTATATGTTGAATAAATAAAGGAAGAGTTATGCAGCCTTGTTTCACTTCTTTGTCAACCTGGAACCAGTTTGTTTCACCATGTTCTGCCCAGACTGTGGTTTCCTGACGTGTGGTATAGATTTCTTATTGTCAAGACATTCTGAGATTCCCATTTTCCTGAACACATTCCACCGTTTGACATGATTAACACAACTGAAGGCCTTTCTAATTGATGTAGTGTATATTGACTTCTTTTTGATATTCTTCAGCTTTTTCAGTTATTCAGCGTGCATCAACAATAATATCCCTTGTTCCTCAGCCGTTTTCTGAACACCTGGCATCTCCTTTTGTGTTGTATGATCCTAAGCATTATGTTGCTAGCCTGTGAAATTAAGGATATTGTACTACAGTTTGCATACTCTGTTAATTCTTGTTTCTTTAGTGTAGGTATGTAGATCAATCTCTTTCAATCTGTTGGTGTCTGTGTCATTCCCCAGATTTGCTGGCATAGTTTGGTTAGAACCTTTACAGATTCTTCTTCTGTTGCTTGTCCTATTTCTGTAGATATTCCACCAATTTCTATAGCCTTCCAACTTGGTAATGACCAGAGTGTTGATATAAATTCATATTTTAATACCAAATGTTCTTGTAAATCAAGATATCTTCTAAGGCAGCGTTTCTTAAACTTTTTTATCTCAGGACCCCTTCCTACTTTTAAAAATTATGGAGGACCCTAAAAGAGCTTTTGTTTGTATGGGTTAAAATGCAAGAATGTTAGAAAAGAATACCAAATCATTTTTTCCCTAACCCATGTTTTTGAGACATGCAAAATAATCTTTGTGCACTTAATATAAGACCTTTATATAATACTAATCAAAATCCCTTGCTTTTAAATGGAGATATGCACCATTCTTCATGGTTTTTTTTTCATTTAAAATATTTGTATTCTGCATCTCATTAAAAAATTCTGAAGAATTTCACAAAGCATTATTTTTTCTTTTTATTAAACTTATTTAAAACCAAGTTGTAAACTGTAGCTCATAATTTTGCAAAATATATTGCTGCAACAAATGGTAAGAAGAACAAGTACAAATTTGGCAAGATATGTTAGTAGTAAGGATTTCCATCAATAATTAATCAGTGAAAACTTGGATTAATTATTTTCAATAGGTTTGCATTAATATCAGGACAATTAATCTGATACCGCTTACTGAAAATTCTAATACTTTGGCTAATACTGAATATACTATGTGGGATAAAATGTTATCAATGTACTTTGATGCTGCATGTGAAATCTTAGGTATGTTTACTTGAACTTCAGTCCCATTAGGCTCAGTGGGCTTAGTTACTCCATTGTATGATGTACTGTATGTTTGTACTACTGGGGTTCTGCTTATAGAACTGCACAAATGTCTACCTTATATTTAGACGTTTTGTATTTGATATTTTGGTTTTTGAAAATCTTATCACTTGAAAACCTTATTCAATTCTGCCTTTCTTTCCAAAGTATTGTATATATAATATATACATATATGCTTTGGGATTAGCTTTTTATTTTCTTTTTATAAAAAGCCCTTATTCAGCCATATGGGGAGATCATAACGATATTTCTTCCAGATTATTGTCAAACTAGGCGACCATTTCATTGCTGCTCAGTATTAGAAGCTTGATGCTCTCAGAAAATAATTTAAGTAAATTGAGTCCAAAGTGACAGAATCAATTTAAGCATTGCAAAGAATGGAATTATAGAAAGTAACTTTAGAAAGTATCATGCTTATACAGGAAAGCTTTTTATTAAAAATATTATCTCACGATGGGGTTGGAGTATTTGTCACTATGAAAGTTGGTCTTCAGCTTATTGTGGTTTTGAATCATAAATTTGCAAATACTTGCTCCCCACTGAAAACAGTAACATGATCCAATCCCAATTATATCCATATAAACAGGTCACAGAACTATAATGAGATGAGTGAATTTAAGTGTTTTATTGACCTGTTGAACACTGGACTGGTGGTTGTTGAAATATTGATTTATCTGTTTGATTTTGTGAGAAATAATTGTACTATACATAGACTTTTTTTTTTACAAGCCAATAATGTGATGTGTGATACAATGGTGTATATTAGAAAAGTTTCAAAACATATGGTACTTTATTAATTTTTAATTGTAGAAAACTAAAGGATCAATCCAGATGCTTGCCAAACTTGTGGTTTCATTTAATATATCAAAGAATTATGGGGAGAGGAAGAGTATATAATTTTCTATATAAAAGTCAAAATGCTTAATTTGACCTGCATTTACCAGTTTTCCAACATGTTTATTTCTTTGGAAGCCATTTTTTAATTCTAGCTGGGCTTGCTGCCATTAATGGATACACATTTTAAAAATGATTCAGGAGGATCTTACATAAAACTATGGAAATATAGGAGAATATTACCTTTCTTACCCTGCCAGTCTGCTGATAGTCTTCTTGAAATACACTAGTGGTACAATTAGAATTGGAAATTATATTTTTCCAAGCCCTAGATTTATTCTAAATAAAAATATTTTAACAAATAAGCATTTAATAACCATTTTGTCTCCTTTTCTTAGATATGTGTCACAAAGATGTCCACACGGAACTGCCAAGGAATGGATTCTGTGATCAAACCCTTGGACACAATTCCAGAAGACAAAAAAGTCAGAGTTCAGAGGACACAGAGCACTTTTGACCCATTTGAGAAGCCAAATAATCAAGTAAAGAGAGTCCATTCAGAGAACAACGCCTGTATTAACTTCAAAACTTCATCTACTGAGAAGGAATCTCCTAAAATCAGACGGCATTCCAGTCCTAGCTCTGTGAGTCCAGACATGCTATATTTATCTCATTTAAATTCTTCAAACAAGTTTCAGATATGTTGGTATTTTAATAGCAGTGTTGCTTAATACAAAATGATCCTCTGAAAGTATGACTATTTTTAAAACTTTCACAATCTTTTTACTATACTATGGGCACTTTAGTCTCAAAGATAAATGCAGAAATTACTCAAAGATTTTAATTGCAAGTATTGTTCACTAGAACAGTAGTTAGGGCTGTACAGATCATCTGGAGGTGTTTTTTGTTTTTGACAATGCACATCAAAGCAGTTGTGTTCTCCCAAATGTTTCTTCAACTATTTCAAGGGCCTTTGCTGATTATCTCTATATGAAACCTTGTCAATATTGTCACTTTTTTTTTTAATGACATATATTAGAGTATAGGTAGTCCCAGTTGAAGAATGAGTTCTGTTTCCAAGGTCCATCCTTAAGTCATATTTGTATGTAAGCTGGAATAGTATTATTAGATAATACTGTGTAAGTAGTATTGTATAGTTAACTTGAGCCATTGTGTATTTAACTCAAATCATTGTGTATTTATCTCAAATTTTGCTACAGTAGGCTCTGTGGGTTGTCCTTAAACTGGGCATTCTTAACCCAGGGACTACCTGTAATTAATCTAAACATAATGGGGAGGAAATAAAAGAAAAAAGGATTGGTATGTATTACAGTAATATGTAATATTACTAACGTCTTTTGGCTTTTTTTTATACTTCAGTAATACAATATTTAAGAATTTATAACAATTATGAATCTGCTGCAAAATCTTGTTCCTGAAAAGTAATGGATCTAACATTAAAAACATTTAATTTGGTATGTCTTTTTCAGGTAGTTTATTAATTAATTTAACTGATTTCTTGTTGGGATTTCTTATCATTTATATATTATATTTGCATATTATAGTAGAGTCTGATACAGGAACATATGTTTTGTAAAAATATGGGGTACCTTTGTCAAGTAGGGTGTATAACTTGAAACCCTGGAAAAGGTGTGGCTGCTTTAAGGACTTGCAGATAGGTGCTATGTTTTCACCCCCATACTCCTTTTGCAGTGCACAGCCCAACTGTCAAACGGGACAATGATAGACCATATCTCTCTCATCACCAGTACATGAAGCAAGCAAATCACACATGTTCTGTCAGGGAAATAATTTATTTTCAAAAGATAGTGATAAGTGAAATATCATCCTTCCATATGAAGGTATGCTGGCAGTTGCCCAGAGGTGTCTTGCCAAATTACTTTGTAGGAAAGTTGCATTTTATCTTTTACTATAGCATGAACCAATAAATGTGACTTTAAAGAATATAGGTTTTCTGGAAAGCATACAAAACATTTTAATGTGGCATAAAAATATGTAGAGAATTACCAAAGAAAATTTCTAATTGTTATAGAAGTCAATGATTTCTCAAGTAAATATCAGTATTAATACAAAATAGTCTTATTTTTTAGTGTTAGTTTAAGGTCAGTGAAGACTCAGTTTTAGAAGTTTTAAGTGTAGCTCATATTAATATTATTAATATTAATAAAATGCAACGGTGGCCA